GTACTACAATGTTTGAAAAAATCAATAACCGCCAGAAAGTGATTGAGGTCGCCCGCATAGGAAGAGCTAACCAAATCGCTTGCACCATGGTAGTAACTTGTATAGCGATCTCTGGAAGACTGGAATAAAGTACAACAAGTGGTATGCGTTTGTTCTTTTTCTTGTGTTGGTTGCACACACACACTCCTTAAATACATGTGAGTGTATCTGGAACAAACTCCCGCAGTCCTCCATGGCTTTGAAACATGCCCACTCCTCTCCGGGAACAAAGCCTCCTCCACGCCCCTTGCTTTCCTGTCCCTGTCCCGTGGACATGTCTGTTTCTCTCCTCTCTTTCCCAAACGTTGTTCATAGAGTCGTCCATTCTGTTTTCTGACCCCTCGCTCTGCAAGCCACTCCCACCTGGCTCCTGACCCAGCCGATGCCTTGAAGCAGGTCCCTCTGAGGTCGCCCACCCTCGGCTGCCATGTTGGGATGTTTCCTGGCCCCGGTCTAACGATGTCACAGAGGCTCCTTCTGGACCACTCTGCCACGGGGCCCCCACCCCACGACCACTCTCTGCCTGCTGGCACTGGCACCGCTCACCATGGAGGTGATGGCAGTCCCCTTGTCATGGAGGCATCCTGGGATCCATGCCTGGCAAAGCACTGGCAATTTCGTTACAACCACAGAAAGTGTGCCTGGGACCACTGCCCACAAGGGGCGCTGGGTGTGGGGAGCGGTTCCGAGGCGGCACGTACCTCTCACTCAGAGGGGCCAAGTCGCATCATTCTCGGCTCTGCTGACTTTTCCGGGTAGCAGTACCACAGCACCCCGACCGCTCCTGGGTTCTTCCACGCCCAGGGAGGTCCCTGCCACACCTGGGGAGGTCAAAGGTCACCTCAGGGCCTGGCACCAGGCAGAGTCTGGAACTCATGAGAACGTGTGTCGAGCATGAGCAGCGGGGACCCTGGGACACAGTCATGTCAGAAACACCACTCTCCACGTGCCCAGTCCACCACAGTGCAGCTGGGACATCCCCTGGCTAACCCTTTAAGTGAAGAGACATCCACTAAACCCCTGCCACTCATACCAAGCAGCCAGCAGCGTCCGAGCCCCCCCCCGGCCGCCGCCCCCAGTGCAGAGGCGAGGAGGCCCGAGGGCCTGGGGCAGCCGTGCAGGCCACCTGGGGCTGCGTATGGGGAGGAAGGCCCCCAGCCAAGGGGAAATGGAGGGGTTTTCTGAGCAGTGATGGGGGCGGGGCAGAGAACTTTGGACAAGGAGAGGGGCTGGGGTCTGCCCCTTTGTTCTGGACAGCGCCCTGTGACTGCAGCCCGAGTTACGTAAGCCACCCAGGCAGCCTCGCTTCTGGCCCATTTGAACTTGCAGCCAAGGGGCCAGGCCTGCTCTTCTCACATGAACTTGGCTTCCTCGCTCTTTTGCCTGTACTTTTGTGACTGATTTTTTTTTTTTTTTAATAAAATGCAAGCCCTTCCTCCGACGCAGACTTCATTTGCACTTTCCGTTTCTGACCTTCATAGTGTAGCCTGCCCAGATCTTGCTGAACCGCTCCATCCTGGGCACCCTGCTGCCTCTGTCTCACTTCCACGCGTTTCCTGCCGCCCAGCATGGCTGGCAGCTTCTTCTATCAGAAAATGGAAGAGAAGATGTGCAAACCATGCAACTGATACAGGATCACTAACCAGAATTTATAACAGGCTAAAGGAACTCCACAACAAAACAAACAGTCCAGTTCAGAAATGGGCAAAGGACTTGAACAGGCAGTTTTCCCAAGAGGAAATCCAAATGGCCAACAGACACCTGAAAAAATGCTCAGGATCACTAGCTGTCTGGGAAATGCAAATCAAAGCCACAATGAGGTTTCACGTCACCCCTGTTAGAATGACTTTCATACAGAAATCAACAAACCACAAATGCTGGCGAGGATGTAGGGAGAAAGGTTCCCTAATCCACTGTTGCTGGGAATTGGTATAGCCACTGTGGAAGATAATATGGAGATACCTCAGAAATTTGAATACAGACCTACCATAATACCCAGCCATCTACCTCCTGGAAATTTACCCAAGGGAAATGAAATCAGTATTTGAAAGAGTTATCTGCACCCACATGTTTATTGCAGCTCAATTCACAAGCACTAAGATATGGAGTCAACTCAGATGTGCAGCAACTGAAGACTGGATAAAAAATTATGGTATATGTACACCACGGAATACTACACAGTGGTTAAAAAACAAACCTGTCTTTTGTAACAAAATGGATGCAATTAGAAACCATTCTATTTATTGAAATAGCCAGTTCCTGAAAGACAAATACCCTATGTTTTCCCTGAGCTGTGGTAACTAATAGAGCGTCTAGAATGTAATGTATATGAGTGAAATTGACATTCTGAAGTCCGATGAGTGTTTGCAGCCTTGTCTCTACTGTTGAGGAAGTGGTGTTTTCTTCATACTATTTGTTGAACTCTTTACTAAGTGTAGGGTTAACCTTATGAGCATAAAGTAAACTGAAACTAAATCTTTGTAAAAATTAAGAGCGGGAATGGGAGAGGGAGGAGGAAGAAGGATGGGAGCATGCGTGGGAAGCATCACTGTGTTCCTGAGTCTGTATATATGAAATACACAAAATCTGTACACCTTGAACTAAAAAAAAACACCCATCATCCACTCCCCTACCCCAAACAGCTCTGTGCAGGACTTCCTTGTCCACACTCGTTTCCACCCTTGTACCAAGAGTGCACACCGCTTAGTATGCTCCTTTTGTTTTCATTAACAACATAGCGAAAGCAGTTCTCCCCTCATGTTTCTAGAGTGCATGAGCGACAGCTACCAACCTGCAGCATGAGGCTGGCATCACTGCACAGTCCAGTGCCCAAGGGCGAAGCCAAAGTGCTTCCTACCCTCCTTGCGGCGCCCACGGCGTTGGCCACGGGAGACCCTCAGCCCGTCTCCGTGGGAAGTCTCGAGTCTGATCAGTCATCACAGTATGGTGACGTCATCACACATGCTGCCTTCGTGGGCCTCTGAGAGCCCCTGCCCCACCCCACTGCTGCCCCTGCTGCCGGGGATGTCACCTCCCTCAGGCTGCCTTCCCCGAGGCCCAGAGCCCCAGCGCCCCCACAGCCCCTCAGACGCCAGCCTGAAAGCAGCAGAGCCCAGGGACAGTGCTGGCCACTGCAGGGCCAGGGACACTTCCAGGGCTGCAGCACCTGCACAGCCAGTGGCCGCAGCAGTGTCTGGGCTTGTGGTGTTGTGCGGCTGTGGCCTGAAGCGCTTGGCTCCTGGTCATTTTCCACACTTGGCGCTGCAGCCATCAGGCACGTCCAAGAGCTCCTCCGTATGCTGTCAATGAACCTCTTTTCTATGTCAAACAACAGCAACAAGGCACATTCCCTCAGTGCTAGTCCTGCACCTTCCCTCCTCACTGGGAGTCCAATTTCGCACAGGAGACCTAAAAAGTGCCAGGTGCATCCTCGGATCTCCCCGTCAGTCAGAGTGTGAACTCAGTCCTAGCCAGCAGTACTTGAGGCTGGCTGCTGGGGACCTCTGGGCAAGATTCTCCTCCCTGATACAAAGCTGCCCCTTCCTCCTTTGCTCTGAGCACACACGTGAGGATATGGTGCTGGAGCCATGGCAGCCACCTTGTGACCATGTGGAAAGCCAACATACCACACATGGCTGGATGGGAAAACAGAAAAATGCCACCAAGATCCTCAATGACATCACCGGGTGGGCTATTCCCCCAGCCCTGGGGCGGGCCCACAGATGGACTTGTTCCCCCTCAAGTTCATTTAACAGCTGTGAATCTTATGGGAACAACCCAGAGGTGTCCCAGGCTATGAAAGTCCCTAAATCTCATCATTCTTAGGCTCCCCTGTGAATTACTGGGCACCTTTTTCAGCTAACTATGTCATGCCTGCTGTTTATAACTCTACCTAGTCTGAAGCCCTCGTCTGGACAAATGTTTTTCTGGCTTAAATTATAATTTAAAGTTCTCTTCCCGACACTGGCCAGTTTCCTGAGACACAGTTTGAGATACTTCCTGTTGGCGGGTACATTCCGGTATTTTCAGCTTTGTTCAGAAACCCAAATCACGTTCCTCGACATTCCATGAGACTATTTATTTCCTTTCCTTGCTGGCAATGAAGTCTGGACCTGTACCGGGAGACGGCACTGCCGCTGCCTCCCGTGGCTGAGCTGTCCTGTGGGCCAGGGGGCAGCTGGCCTCTGGCATTCCGTCCCCTCCCCAAGCACCCCCAGGTACCCACAGACCCTGGTCTCTCCCACCGCCTGTAGATCCCGGCGAGGGCCAGGAAGCTAGCCCGATGCCTCAGCCCCTCCCCCCCGCCCCTGTGCCCTCTGCACCCCTGCCCAGCCCGGGAATGCAGCAGGCAGAGCGCATACTCCGGGGGCAGGGCAGGCTGCAAGCATGCACCGGCTACAGGAACCACTTTGTTCTTCCATACTTCACTTGCCTGGGAGGTCAGGGTCACAGGTGGGCGTGGGTGGGGCTGGCAGAAACCACGGCTCTGCCTGCCTGGTTTCCTCCGGTCCTCACAGGCTCTCGCGGCCGGCACAGGTGTTTTCTGACCTGGCTGTGACCTTTTTTCTTCCACGAAGGCTTCCCCTCTATGGGAACGACCTTCCTGCCATAAACACGCCGCCCGCAGCCTGCATTTCTCCTGTTCCCTTGCGTCAGATTCTTCCCTCACCTCCTGTCTTAGCCTCATCAGGGCATTTGTTTTCCTGGCTCCCTTCTGGGATTTTTTCCATTTTGCGCAGGGATGTGTACTCCCTCTAAACACTTAGAGCCCAGGCCTGCGCTCCTAGCAAGGAGACTGGCTGGGAATGACAGGAGAAACAAAGCCCGATGTCCTGGCACTTGGGCTTCGTTGTCACATTTTATGGAATCCTTCCCCAAGCAGCATCACGTACTTGCAGTGACAGTGACCGGAGGCCACCAGGTTTCTAGGTCTGTGGGGGCCCCTGCACCCTTTAGCTCCAGGGCTGACAACGCCTCCCATTGCACAGATGCAGCAGCTGATACACGAGAAGCTCAGGGCACGGGCCTGAGGCTCTGCTACGGCAAAGTCTGGTCTGAACCCTGCGAGGGCTGCTTCGCTCCCAATCACTGTCCCGCGCACTTCCCACAGTTTACGTCTTTTCTGGCATTCCCGGGAAGCACCTCCTCTGGACTTCTGGAGCCAGCGTGTGGATCCAGGACACCGTGAGTCTGCTGGCTCTGGCTGCCGCCCAGCTTTTGTCCCCACATGGCAGAGAAGGCACGAGGTGGGGCCGGGGCTCTCAGCGCGGAGGGGGCGCCATCAGAGTGGCAGAGGCCCCCAGGGCCGGCTTTCCTCCAGCTCGCTCATTCTGCAGAGGGCGGGGCCTTCAAAGGGCACACGTGTCCACCTGCAATGACGACTCAGCGGCGAGCTGCTCTCTTACGGAGGAGTCACAGCTGAGGAGTTTCTTACCTAACACGGGCTCGCACACATCTGATCTTCCACCCACTTTCCCTGCCGGGAAACACACTGCTTTCGGTTTTACATTTCGGTCTACGATGCATGCTGGGAAGACGTGGGGGGCCCTCTCCAGGGTCTTGCATTTGTTCCGAGACCAGCCTTTCTCTACTGTCCCCGGAGCCTTTGTCACAAGTCAGTGGCACGAGAGATCCGTGAGGGGCTCTCTCTGGACGCTCTAGCCTGCCCCTAGCGTTGTGATCATGGCGGCTTGACAACAAGCTGGGAAGTCAGGAAGCGTTCATCCTCCAATTTTTCTCTTCTCTTTCAAAGTTTTGGCTAGTCTGGGCCCTTTGCATTCCCACACGAATTTCAGGACCACACCCGTCAACTTCCACAAGATAACTGCTCGGATTTTTTTTTTTTTTTTTTTTTGGTGTTATGCTGAACACGTAGAACAGTAGTTGCTAAGACTTTTGTTGAATGGCCGGATGGTCAATATTTTAGGTCTGTGGACCACACAGTCAGTGTCCCAACAGCACAGCTCAAGCCGTGGTGCAAAACACGCCCTCTGAAGACGAGTGGGCATGACGACATCTCTTTCAAATAAATAAATCTTTTTATTGTGCCATGCCAAAACCAGGAGTCAGGAGCTTCTTCTGGGTCTCCCACACGGGTGCAGGGGCCCAAAAACTTGGGCCATCTTCCATTGCTTTCTCAGGCCATAGCAGAGAGCTGGATCGGAAGTGGAGCAGCCGGGACCTGAACCGGCGCCCATATGGCATGCCGGCGCTTCAGGCCAGAGCTTTAACCCGCTGCACCACAGCGCCAGCCCCTAAATAAATCTTTTTTTTAAAAAAGAAAATTAAATGTATACTCATCATTGCCTAATTTTTGAGAAACTTATCTGATCTTGCTAGGTTTTTATCACTTTCGCCTTCTTTGGGCACAGCCCTCCGCTCCAGGCTCAATGTCTGCCCAGAAGCACAGTGTGCAATGGCGTGAAGTGTCAAAGGTCATGACAAGAGCCAAGAGTCACCGTGGTACTCTGATAAGGGATTAGCCCAGGGGAAACCACCTCCAATTCATATTTGAGACCTAACAGGACCAGCTAAGAAGGACACTGAAGGGGCTCCCATGATGCATCACACCACTTGTCGTGCAAT